ACTGGTCCACCTCTCAATGATGTTTAGAAGAAGTGAGACGTGCTGAAATGGACACCTAGCTGTGTTCAAACGCTAGTCTAAGCAAAATCTCGTTCCTCTGAATTTCTGATCTGGAAGAGTTTACGGAGAGTTATCTAGTTATTTTAAGTAATATTTGTTATTTTAAGTAATATTTGTCATCTGGAAACTCGATTTTTAAAAATTTGTCATTTTGACCCCAATTTACGTGAAAACCAACCTGAAGTACCTCAGTTGGCTAAGAATTACTTTTTACTTCCTTTTCTATAACGTTCCTCTATATATCAAAGAAACTTATTATTTAGAACTCGTGGAAACCTAGAGAAAAAGTATTTATAACGTATAATTGTTCTGTTTTGGCCTCCTTAAATCACGAGCATGGTGGTAATTATCCTCTGTTCATTTATCCTTTTGTTCACTGAGGTTCTGCTGAGTTAATTGCTCAGCTTCAGCAGATGCAACTCGATGCAAGCAAAGTCAATGACAAGACAGACCTAAAAACTGAGTTGAAGAAAATTGCTTCAGACAAGGGCTTTAGAATCGTCGACAATGAAGGATCAGGAGATTGCATGTTCTCTGCTTTGTCAGATCAACTGGAAATTGCTAAGAGAATCAAAATCAAGTATGACGAATTAAGACAAATATTGGTCCAGTACCTCAGAAAAAACCCTAAACTAGTAAGTGGATGTCTTACACTCTGTGTTAAACACTGTTACTTTAGGAGCACCATAAAGGTTGGATCCACATGTAGGCCAACTGGTCAACACATCACTACTCCTCCTGTAGGGGATAATAAGAATCATAAATACCTTGAAATCATCATTTAGTATAAATCACACCGCGCGCTCCTTGGTAAGTGATTGGCAAGTACCATTCATCGTCTTCTGGTATAAACGTAAATTATTTTCTACCTAAGCGTCGGTGAAAGTAATGGATAAATTACTTTGCCTCTTTGCCTCGGAAGATACTCACCCCTATTCACCATTTATTTCGGAGAATAATTGTTCAATACTTCTGGATTGCTCGTAAAAAAAACGCTGTCTTGTTCAAGTGTCTTTTTTTATAGACCATGTCCGTGTCACGGATGAATTCAAACCTCCTTGATAAAATGAAAGGGCTCTGCCTTGTTGAGAAAGCTGCCAACCCGAGGTTTTTTTAAAAGTACTTCGCACTTGAATCTCCCCTAGAAGGGACAATCCTAATTGGATAACCTTGACTCTGGGTAAGGTGGACATTAGATATTCGATGTTTCGCAGGGAAAATTCAGGAGTTGAGACTGCTACATCCAATTCAGATCCTTGTGATCATTACTCTGATATGTTATTATCTGTTCTTACTGTTGTTTAGTATCTATTATTTTCTCATTCGATGACTCCTTCCAACGTACTCAACCTGGTCCAGTGTACCATTAACTTTACACTCCAAGTTTCGTTCTCTATTTTACTTTTCTCACAGCCGAATGGAACAGATCTGTTTCACTTCGTCCATGGACATCAATCATGGGCTGATTACTTAACGTACATGGAGCAAGATGGCGCATGGGGTGACCATGTTATTCTATGTGCCGCAGCAAACTGCTACAAAACTTGCATTCGTGTGGTCAGCAGTCTTAACGCTTCTCACGATGTTATCTTACGGCCACAATGCCCTGTTGACAAAGGCAGGACACTTGTGTTGGGACACGTCCCTGAAGCACACTATGTCAGCCTTTACTCCACACAAGGTACAATTCTTTACATTACACCCAGTAAATGAGGTGTGAGTTTATAATGATCCTTATAAGTTATATCGCTACTTTGAGAGCGATCGATGCAACATTTCCAGGACTGTAGTCCTCTATTGTGATACATCAACAGGGAGGGTAAGAAGATATTCTATTGAAAAAGGTGTAGTTTCGATGTAAAATGCGAAATAACCGTGTTTGCGTGTGGATATGTACATTTTCAGCTAACTGATGGCACCGTCAACAAATCACGCCGAATCATATCCCCAAAAATTCCTTCAGAGATCGAACAGAACTACATTTCGCCTTCCAAAAGCCAGATTCTCAGTCGATTATTTTGTTTAGCATATAGTTTAATCAGTAACGGGCTACCTTTGACCTATTTTTAATGTAGCTAGAAGATGATCGGATAAATTCAATTAGATTGTGTAAATAAACAATCAAGAATTTCTCAAATTGCCGTCAACCTATGTTGAATGTCGTTTTTCAATATTTGGTACTTTTCACTGGTCCACGTGACTGTTTTCAATTCGTGGCGCAACTCTCCAAGATTCGTGTGAGATTTTGAGCTTCAAAAGTGGCATTTTGGCGGAACTCAGTTATCGATTTTCTCGAAAATAAGTCGATATTCAGCCAAACGAAGTATGCAGTGATTTATTTCTCATTGAGACCTACCTAACTTTGAAATATGGGTGAAATTTATTTTTCAGCTGTTGCCAGCAAATGTGTGACCATTGGTAACATTCACTCTTAAAGAGTAAAGAGATATTGGGAAAGAGCAAAAGCGGAACGCAAATGACTAAGGATGGAGAAGTTTCACGATACGGTTGCCAAACGCAAAACGCACAACGTGGCTTATTCAACAAATCTGGCGATCTAGCGAACTAAAGCCACGAGAGAGAGCACTTTGTAATCTTATTCCCTTTTTGTGTTTTCTTTATCGAACACAGTAGAAAATCTAGAAGAAATGGGGAGCGCTGTTGATAGTGAGGATGAGTTGCAGGAAGAACGGGTAGAGAGGGAACAACATGCAGGATCAGGCGAAGAAAACGAGGAACCCACTGAACCCCAGCAAGTTGAGCCTGAACAAGACGAAGAACTAAAACAAGGCCAAGACGAACTTACTGGACAGCAGCAAGTTGAACCTGAACATGACGAAGAACCAAAACAAGGCCAAGACGAACTTACTGAACTGCAGCAAGTGGAACCTGAACAAGACGAGGAACAAAAACAAGGCCAAGACGAACTTACTGAACAGCAGCATCTTGAAAGAGAACAAGACGAAGAACCAAGTCAAGGCCAAAACGAAACCAGTAAACAGGAGCAAGTTGAATCAAAACGAGACGAAGCAGTAAACAATGAGCACAAAGAACCTATTACAAAGCTGGGAGTTGGACCTGGTCATTCAAAGGGAAGCAAAGAAGTTAGTAAAAAGCAGCCAGAAGACCAAGAGCTGAAAGAAGAACATGAAAAACCTGAGCGTGAGCAAGATGAAACTGTTGAAGAAAAGCCAAAAGGGGAAGGCCAAGAATCCAAACAGCAACGCACTTGGAAAGAAGAGGAAAAAGAACTGAAAGTCGACCATGGGCTAGAGGTTGGTTCTAAAAAAGACGAGAAGTCGAAAAGAGATAAAAAAGAAAGCGAACAGCAACAAGAAGAAAATGAGCAAGACGAACAACAGCAAGAAGAGAAACATGAGGAAACCGAAAATCAGCAAGTTGATTCTAATCAAGAATGGCGAGAAAAAGACCACAAAGGTCCAAAACAGGTAGAAATTGAGCAAGAGAAACCAAGAGGAGTGTCTGAGGAAGTAAACCAAGTGCAACTGCAGGACAGAAAACAGCAGTCAAAACGAGATAACAAGGACTCCCAACATCGGGGTGAAGAGTCTATGGAAGATGAATCACCACGACACCAGCAGATTATGGACGAAGGTATGTTTTACCCGGCCTCCGTTTCCGCTAATTTCTAAAGTTTTGGGGAATTAATTTTCGTTCATCACGTTGGGTGCAAGAAAAACTAGANTATCAGTTAAAAAACCATACATGTCCAATACACCAAACAGATTCTGACGGTTGTCTGATGAAATAGGTAAGTCTGAACGCGAGATAGAAGCATGAGTCGGCAGACAGAAGGGCTGGAAATCCTTGCAAAACACTACACTAGTCTTTTAATAATATATAATGTTACCGTGGATAAATTGGAAATAGGTTTTACGACTGAAAGACCAAGTACGAAACATCATCATTGGAGGTTAACTGGTGTTATGCCGTTGCTATGAAATTGCTTAATTGCTTATTGTCTCGATACATTTCCTGTGGTGCTGGCAGGGAGAATTTGTGTAGCAGTCAAGAGCTTCTTTAGTTGATGATCATTTCCATTATATCTCCTGACCTTGATGTGTTATTCGGGGATGATATTGTAAGGAGAAATTAGATACTGGTCACTCTTGGGTTTAAAGGGTTTATGTTTACCGAAGAGTGTGCAAACATTCAGACTGAAACATTAGAATGGGAGTTCTTAAATTTCCGCTAATTTTTGACCTAGAAAAGTTGGGAATAAAAACTCCAAAAAAAAGGAGTCAAAGAAAACTTTAAAGAAGAACTTAAAAAAAGTGTTTCATTCCAAAAAAAACTATACTAGCACTTCAACACAATTTATAACACGTACCTGATAAACAATTGGCTTGCAGTGGTGACAGAGCGACGTAGTTCTTGAGGACGAGAAGAAATTCAGTGACTGAGTTTACACGTAGCAAGATCTTCCTCCGCTTGTGAAGCATTCTCGCAAGAATTTGAGCCATCTTCACTGAACAGCCTTCAAAGAGGCAAGTTTGATGGAAAAAATGCACAAATCATTCAAACACTGCAAGGTAAATACGTTATGGAATGCCATTTTCAACTCTGATTCCTCCCAAAAATGAGGCGAATATTTGAAACTTCAACACGATATTTGCATTTTTAAGCTTTCTATGTGTTTGCCTCCACGCGATGAGATTTCTAAAACAGTTTTTTTGGCGTAAAAGGTAATACTCTTGTTATCATACTCATTTCGTTTGTTGTGTACATTACCACTTAATTAACCTGAAAGTATTCTCCTCACGCGCTGGCCTCACGTGCACTCCTCACCGAACAACGTTTTGTTGACTCGTGCTATTCTTCGCGCGGCCACTCGATAGAATGCCTGACAGATTTCATAGATGTCTCCGCAAGAAGATATGCCTGGACGAAGTAAGGTACAAAGCAAAAACGTTTAAGAATTTCAGTGCCTTCAGAAGGCGAATTCTAACATCATATCACCATATACCTCTTCAATTGAACAGTGATCGAAAGTGAAGATGAGGATTCTGACACAAAAGCAAAGAGCGCCGAGGTGAGTCTGCGTGATGTTCTATCATTTCATCGCTCGAAACGATCCTTCAAAAGTTTCAGTACCTTAACAACCTAGCTCGTGATAAACAGGGCATGCGCGTTTCTGGGGATTTTGGGGCTGACGTGTTTTGTTTGACGAAAGCACTTCGTGGGTAAGCAATGCCTTTCTTGAGAGGTCGATTATAGAAGTAGACAAACTGACGTGAGAAATACATCATTTGCATGTTTAACATGACCATCCAAAGTACAAAATGGGAAGTTTTAGGGAAAAAACAGCATCTCCTTGTCATTTACTTTTTAATATGTAGTTAGGTGTGGTGAATTTTAAAAGGGGTGCAGTGCATTACTATGGCAAATTTTGCTTGCAGAAAAAGGAATTAAGTAGAAAAAGAGCATGCTCATATGCATGTGTCCTCAGCAAAAGGTTCAGATTCAACAACAATCATCTACAAAAAGCTTGAGTCCTTAGGGTTTACTGTTAACAAGGAATCAAGCATTGCATCAGCTGGGAAGAAAAAAATTCATAAAGACCATCAAGTAAGTGTCATCTTTCAAAGAAGTCTGTCTCTTTTATCGTGAGTGGTCAAAGTAAGCACAATTAAACACATTTTTATATACATGAAAAAATTATGCGCTTCCAATTGGCTCCAACTGAGTGCATTTTTCATATGTAACACAAATGTAGAATTATAAACAAGTGCAAAGTTGTAACACAAGACAGTGTTAAATTACAAATAGTTGTCTGTATTAACTCTCTTTGATGCTTTTTTAATGTAAATTACTGATAAGGAAAACATGATTTCTCATCACTGACATAGCATTAATTACATTAAGCACTTGTAAAGTTTTCAAAGACTACAAATTACACTTGCTTTATGTTGTCTTGCAAATTGATTTTGTTTTCTGGGAAGGATTTATTTGTGCTTGATTAATACCAAATTACTCTCAAAATGTCATTACCTGAACATTATTAATTCAAAATGCTATAGCCTTGGATTGAATTTAAGAACTGACTAAGTCTTCTGGGCATATCTTATGATCAACATAATGATTTATTGAAGTCCTGAGATTTTTCTCTTTTCTTTGAAACTGTGTGAATTGGTAATTCAAAGATTTCCTATTGTGGACTGTAAACAATTAGTGATAATATAGAGGCTAATTTGCACTACTGCTTTTAAGGCTTTAAAGCTCTAAATATTTCTGAACATTGTTGTATTTCATCTCTCTTGACATTCCAAAATTTGTCACTATGTATTTTGTGTTACTTGCTTCCCCAAATCTAAGAAACTTTCTCTCTCTTTTAGACAGTTATAGCCTCTATGGCTTCATTGATGAACCCTGTTTTGTTTCAACAGATCACCAAAGGCATGTTATAAGCACACACCCATTAAAAATGTTTATTTCCTCTGGACCCCTGTCAGGTAAACCTGTCCCTTTCTCCTTGGTTACTTATATCACAACGGTTACTGGCCTAACCAGCCTTCCCTTATTCATTATCATCATGACAGATTAAAACCAATTATATGAGTTCATGGAGACAGAGCCAGCCTCATTGCGGACCTTATTCATTATCATCATGACAGATTAAAACCAATTATATGAGTTCATGGAGACAGAGCCAGCCTCATTGCGGACCTTATTCATTATCATCATGACAGATTAAAAACAATTATATGAGTTCATGGAGACAGAGCCAGCCTCATTGCGGATCCTATTCATTATCATCATGACAGATTAAAACCAGTTATATGAGTTCATGGAGACAGAGCCAGCGTCATTGAGGACCTTATTCATTATCATCATGACAGACTGAAAACAATTATATGAGTGCATGGAGACAGAGCCAGCCTCCTTGACCAGTGCTTTAAGAACTGAGGCCCTTAAGAAATATAAATATTGTTAAAAATAAAGGAATCTCAAGAAAAAGAGATTGGTTAAAAATCTATTGTTTATTGTACCTGTAATGATGGAGCTATGTCACTGAAACTTAAGAAAAAATGAAATCAGGTCAGTGATTTTCCATCCCCTTTAGTAATTCCCTTAACTTACATGGGTTAATGGAGTCTGTAGTAAATGATGAGAAAACTGCTTAGTAATACCTAAAACAACAACTGTACAAAGTCCTGTACATGTAGGTATAACTCAATTGCCCCTTCTAATAATCGGCTCAAAGGCTTCTTTGTTTTTGAATGTTTCTTATGATATAGCTGGAGATGCAAATTAATACTGTAGCAGAAACCAATGTAAATGAAAATTATAGCTTTTTTATAAAAGGTAACTCAGCTATGAGTTTCCTAATTGACAACTAAAAGATTGAGCCATTTGAACTGTTCTCAAAAATAGATTTGATCCTATTTTTTAATTCTTTGTTACACCAGAATGTAGTATGTTATTTTTCTGACTATTGACTTATGGTAAAAGTTTTCTGTTGCAGTTAAGTGTTATAACTAAGTTTAGAAATTTCCCCTGGATTCTGTGAGATACTTGATGCAAGAGCAGTGCATTGATGAGCTTGTGTTCAAATGCTTGACACTGGAATCCTGTAAAAAGTGCATAATTTCCGCATTATTCTCGATATTTAAAAAAAAAATATGTCCTAAATGATAAATTTTCCTACCTTCAAAACTTTTTAAAATATTTTTTTCAAATCGTAGTGAATTTTGATGGCAAAAACTGTATTTTTAATCGAAAAGATCGTGTCAAACACGCAGGAAAACAAGTAAAATCGAACAGGCCTCTTGTCTTTTGCTGCTTGAGACCTGGGCTCTAGTTGTTGACTTACAAGCAATATGATTGCAGGAAAAAGAACCAATCAATTACAAATGGAAATAGTAATGTTCATGTGAACAAAGACAGAGGTGGCCCAGTGAGCAAGCTCTGTTATGTCTAGTGGGTTTATGCAGAGGGATAAGTGGCAACCTTCAGTGCTTACAAAAGAAGAGGACAAGAAGCAGGCCATGGATGAAATTTCACAATAGATTTCTTGCAGGAAACAAACAGAGGCAGAAAAAAGCTGTGATGAGCCAGTGCTATTTCCAATGATGAAATAAATCAATCTGGAAAAAAGACCCCTGACAAAAGCTAATAAAAGTGATTAGAGAACCCAAGAAAAGAATGTGAATGAAGAAATTTACTCCCAAAGGTAAGCTCATTCTCAATTATTGGTACCATAACAAAACTGACAATTATTTATTGCAAATGTTGGTAATTTTGTTAAAGTGCAAGACTGCATTCACATTGCCAGAGCTTAGAGCTGACTGCATATCCAACCCACACAAATTTTGTATATTAGTATATGCTAAGTTTGCAAGTGAAAATCCACTCAAGTAAAATTTACTCCATGTTTGAGCGAAAATGAAACTAGCTGCCCCATCAATTAAAACTCAGCATAATAACTCAGGTATCTCATACTATCAAACCTAATACTTTTACTCACTGCCATCAGTTATCAAATTAATGAAAATGCAGCCAGTGCCAAGGGGATATTAGTTATATGACTCTTTAGATACATACACCTAATATTAAATTACACATATGCAGTGAGTTGCTACCGTGGTCTCAAT